AAAGAAAGAAAATGGCAGTGCCATTTATGATCCATTGTGGTTAGAAAATTCATTTTTTAGTAACAAAAATGAAGAAAAAATAAAATAAAATAAAATAAAAAGAGCATCCACTATGAAAGCACTATATAATGAGCTCATATGAATGAATGATCAAGGCTGTATTAGAAGGTGGTTCCGACTTGGTATCCTTAATATCTAAGAAATACATATCATTTTTCAAAGACAATTTGAGCTACTGGACAGTGATTTTGAATTTGTAATTATCTAAAATTCTTTCTATCATATTCAAACCCCCTTCACCAGACACAATAAGCACAATTTATTATATGAAAAGCAATTGGAACTAGCCCGAACACAAACATGGGAATACAGTCCAAACCCATCCAAGAAGGCACAGTGAAAAAATTAAACATAATTCAACATTCCCCATGAAATTTGATCCAAATTCCAAAAGCCTGACAAGATAAAGCAACACATTGGAGGCAAAGATACACAAATTTCTTCACATATCTTAAACCAAACAACCATCAGGGCACTAAATTGCTACAACCATCCAAGAAAATAAATAAATAAATAAATAATAGAAGAAACGATTATGGAAATGAATAAATATATAATTCAGACCAACTTATTTTATTTCCCTTACAGTTGTACTTAACTCTTGATCTTCTCCACTAATGAGGATGAAACAAATCAAAATTAGCAAAGGATGAAACACCTGCTAGGAAAAAAAATTAAACAAACATAAAAAATGAATGAATTCCACAATTTCCCTCATTTTCACTTTCATGCATGCAAATAAATCTTAATTTTCCATCATAGTTCAAATAAAAAAGAAAATGATGATTTATTACAGCATAAATGAGGCCTTCTTGAGAATTGAGATGGATTGTGAGAAATAAAGTTGTTTCTGAAGTGAAGAGTCGATATCAGTACGATAAGTGCAATAACACAAGTTGAGAATCTAACAAAAGAATGGTGAAAACAAGAGTTTGGTCATGGCTTCTACTCTCATTCTCATCTTTCAGTGTTTCAGTTCAATGGTGTGATTAAGTAGTGCCTATAGTGACCGACTGAACTGGGAGATCAAATTGATTATAGAAACATGAGTTTACTTAGTTGATTTATCTTATAGTATTCTCTATATATGATTGAAGTGTCATCAGTTAACATTTCTGTCATATGATGGAGACATGGTTGTGGGATCATCTTCACTCACGACGTAATTCAATATCATATTCTCGTTAATTGCTTTTGGACTTCCACTGATAACATTAGAAGAGAAAACGCGCACAACACCACAAATTCCAGAATTCAAGATATGTCGCCCTCCACGAAAATCCTGACCAATAGAGAATTAAACAATTGAAAGATTAAAGAAAAGCTACACAATGAGGAATGATGGATTAAGAATAGTTCCTCGTTGAACATCAAAAACTACTTAACTTACACAAAAGCCTCTCACTGACCAAACAATTTTTTCTAGCTATAATCCAATGTCCTCCAGTAGGCATGAACTTGTTGGTGTGATATCTGATAACAAGCCACGAAAATCTACATATACCCTTTTAGCCTTAACAAAACAAGGTCTCAATACTGAACTAAACGAGCTGTAGATATTGAGCATCAAATCGAATAAAGTTTGAGAGTGTCTCACCAATTGCAACTCAATTTCCTTGGAGATAATCGAATGTCGCAATTTAAAGGCAGTCATCCAGCATCATAGAGGCTGCTCTGGAGAAGGAAAAAGTTGAGAGCAGATATGAAAATAATTACCTTTTAAATAGTAAATCGAAAAGAACCCAACCGGTAGCCTATTAGTGATATGCAGGAATGTACTATGTTTTTATAATCTAGACATTAAGTAAATGACATGATAACATCAATCACAACTCAATTGGTTTTTAAAGACTTTTGATGTTACTGATCAGTCATCACCCATCTAGTTAAAAATAAACATGTTCATATATCCCGAATACAAAACATAATCCTACAGTATTTCCACACTAAGGCCAAAATAACATAAGAGGAACTATCAATTAACTAAAAATAAGAGCTCCATATTTTAGTAACTATTCAGAGCCGAGTGAGGCGCTCCTTAACAATTTATCATACCTCATTTGTTATCTCTTCCGAATCATATAAATGTCATCA